CGTCTTCAAACTCTCATGTGCCATACAAATCTTGAAGCGTTGATAAATGTCGAGGAAATGAAGATTGATATTGGCAAGTGTTTCATTGTTTGTCGTCAAAGTTTTGATGAGAATTGATTCCGAGTCCATAGCTTTCTTCGGCATTAAAGCCGATACCATCCCTTGGAAAATCAATCCCCATTTCGCCGGATCAGCACCCGTATGAGGAGTACCGAGAAAGATGATACCGAAAGTCGAGACAGCAATGGAACGAATCTCGTCATTGCTCTTTCCTTGATAATCGTGGGAAATTTCTAGTGCCTGAGAGATGCATGAGTATTAATAGAATTGTGGGGGTAGCTATTGGTGCCACTTACTCGTTTTACCAAGATACCACCCAAACTATGCGCCACCCAAATGATTGGGTTTTCTTCGGCCTCTTCACTCTTCCTCTCTAGCGCCAAGCTAGAAACCAAACTTTGTGCGTGTTCGTGTATCCTGTCGTGCGAGGCGGATTTCTCTGCAAAAGCTACGACATCCGCATTGTATCCATAGACGAGTATGCGCACCTTGGCAGATTTGTTTGGATCTTTGGAGCTGAAGGTCACTGGGAGAAGAGCCGTGGGCCAGAAGATACCATTCTTCGCCGTCCACGTATGCTGTGGGTGACCGTTCAATCCATGGACCAGTACGATGTCTACTTCAGCTTGGGGATGTGCGTAGACTTCTGTGACTTCGAAGCGATTGATTTCATTGGGGTTTATAGCGGATCCATCCTGCCAAAGCACCAAATCAGCCGAAAGTTCCGAGATCCCTGCTGGTCCCTTACAGACGAAACGGGAAGAGGGTTGGAATCTGGGGAAAGGATTGTTCACTTACCATGTCGAGATCTTCGTTGGCCCGCGATGCAGCTCGAGTTCAATCGTATGGTTGCATATATAAGCACGAAAGAGTGAAGACTTATATAGACGAATGAAGGATGGAATCACAACAGGACGTAAGGTGTCATGAAGACTGCGAAAAGTAAGCCTGCGGACGCAAAGTATCGGAGACGTCTGCCTGACTCGATTGACGTACCCAGGGCATATAAGTTCTCGGTGTATCTGAAGATTAAATGTACCCGTGAAGATTGTGGCACGCGCTAATGGAGGTTGGGGTGTTAGTCACACGGGGGCCGAAAAGTATATACGACGCCACACGAACAATATTTCTTTAGTTCAAGACATGATTGATGCGATGTCGTAATCGATATATACTTTTGGTGGTGGTGAACGGTGGGAAAGAGGGCGCGAAGTTGGATGATGGTGGGATGGAAGTGAAAACATTTTGAGGAATATGGAAGTCAGCTGGTGACATGGGATGAAGGACTGGGGAGAGTGATTGACCGGGGGGTGGAAGATGGAAATGGCTCGAAAGGGGATAGTGTTGGGGAGATGGGATTGATGAATAGGGCTATGGGCGGCTATGAAATTGATTTGAGGTGTTATAATAGGTTAATTAGGTTTATATGGGTAATATAGTTAATATAGTTAATATAGACAATATCGTATGGTTAATAGAGTTATTATTAAGAGAAGGCTTAGCATTTCACTAAAACTCGCCTCCGCATATTATATATTATATATATATATTATATTTCCACCCCATCAACACCCCTCCCCCAATCATTTCTCTCGATGATCCCCATTCTCAAACCACCCGCGCCATCTCACAACTTTAACTCTAAAAATGGCGAATGTGGTGGAAAGGATGAGAGACGCTTGTAGGGTTTATTACGGGTACGGGTAGGTACTTGGTACATCCAATCCTGGATGGTGATTCTTTGCCTGCGGGATGGCGCCGTAATTGCATCAGGATTAGTATTGGTGTTGAGTCAGCGTCAGCGTCAGCGTCAGCGTCAGCGTCGGCATCGGTATGAGTATCATGGTTAGTATCTATGTGTATTAGTATCAGGGGAATTATGTATCGGGAACTGTGCATCGGGAACTGTGTATCAGGGGAATTTTATATCAGGAGAACTGTGTATCAGGGGAATTTTATATCAGGAGAACTGTGTATCAGGGGATGATGAGAATTCGAGATGATATCTCCAACTCACGTTGCAACATTAATTCATCTAAAAATATAAAACTATATAAATACTTATAATAACCATATAATTATATAGATGTTTATCATACATGTGCCCTAACCTACGACAAAACTCAAATGAAATAGAGAACGACTATTCCTAGGTATCTAGATCTGCCATCCAAACTGTCAATGACATAAGATAACACAAGTCATCCAAACTATCCATACATATCCATAGCACTCACTACACAACAAATAACAACACCGTCAAATGTTAAGGTTAGATACACATATACATATACATATATATCCATACATAATCTTACATTCTAACGTCAATTGAGTAATCTACAGAATTGATGCAATTCTCGAGATCATGTGAATAGAAGGAAGATTCCTTCTATCCCTTTTGATATAGGTTTCTCACTCATGCCGGGACTCGTTTGTTCATGGCGTAACCGACGATACATGCGTACTTGGCTTATTTGATGATCAGAATATCAGTCAGTCAGTCATTCATCCAGTCATCCAATTAATTCATCCGATAACCAACCTACCTATATGCGCGTTTAGATGCTGCGCTTCGAGATGAATACTAGATACCTAGTAGGTAGGTAGATACGCTCGAAGTACGCCCAATATTATATTTATATTAGATACGACGGGGTCCTACCGGTACGTACCTAGTAGGTAGCTAGATATATATCTCCGGATCTCAGATTATTAGTAGCGGATAAATACCGTATGATCATGGATGCTTATATTATATTCACAGTACCCTGCCCAGTCTCGAGCCTGTTGATAGCATAACGATAAATACGTCGGTTTAGGTTTCGGTGTTCCATTTATGATTATTCAGTTGTGTAGATTATGGGATCAGTATACCTAGGTCAGTATAGGTCAGTCACTAGATAAGCTGAGCGAGCTTACGAGTATAACACAAGAGAATATTTTGTGGAATCTCTACGAGTAGAATGGCTACCTGGTATCTATGACAAATGAATCCTCCTACCTACGGTACTATAGTACCAGATTTTGAGCCCCAAATATCTTCATCGAGGCGCATGCTTTCGAAGATCTCGGGAGATATGGATACCTAGGGCCACCTGGGCAATACGTAAAGGAGGCAAATCACGTGAAAGGGGCTGATGCAGTTCTACCGGGAGGAATGTGACCTACTAGTAGGTAGGTAGGTAGGTAATCAAGGCACATAGCACTCTGGGGCTCCGTCATCTAAATCCGCCCTACTCGTACACTCTTCACATTATGTGTTTGTTCACGAGAGTGACAAGTGACAATTATGAGGCTCAAAGTTTCAATACGCTTGATTTGTCAATAAGAAAGGACCTATTTTAGCACCGGCAATTTTCTTTCGACCCAACTGCCCTAAATCATTCAAGCTTTTAAACTCTATTTGCTTTTCTCGGCGAAATTACCGCGGTGACCTTGATAGGTTGTACTGGCGGCAAAGTCAAGTGAGACATGTGGCATTAGTGAGTATTGTGAAGAATTAACTTTTTTAACACATGCATATTCTTTTCCCTTCAATGATCTTCATTCCTCCGCACGGTGGAAAAATCTTGTGATGAGTTGCAGCTGACTTCTGCTTCTCTGATATGGTACAAATCGTATAGCATGATAAGTATTAAAGGAACTTCCGAAAGTATGTTACCATAGATGACAACCACCTTTTTCAAGAAATTCCTTTGGATTAACTTCTCGGTGCCAACATTAGGACGTACTCTCTTGTACTGTGACCAAACTGTATCATGTCCTTATCCATTAACTCAACATATCGACTCGCATCGATCGGATCTTTGTTCATCATCGTACCATTCGCAGATTCAAGATCGATCAAGTATGGCTTGACTTTGCGAATCTTATCTCCAAATTCGTTCATCTTCTCGCTGGCTTTGAACTGTATGACGGCATGTTGTTTGCTGATACTTGGATGTTCCGCAACTAAATCCACCACGGCCCGTTCTCGACCAACAAGCCAGCAACTCTTCGCACTCAAATCAATGGTTTCGATAATGTCGGCGCCTTTAAACACAAAAAGTTTCCAGTCGTCTTTAGATGGTGGTTTGCATGCTTCGGGGGGTTCGTGATACTTTAGAACTATAGAATTTCCATCTGCCTGTGTAATTGTGTTTGAAGCTGCTGCTAAGACTCCCGTGTGTCCCAAATTCGGCTTCTCTTTTTCTGGTACCGGCTCGTCTCCGGTGGTTACAAGAGCCGTTGAGGATGGATCTTTTTTCGATTGAAACGATGCAGCTTGGGATGGTAGCGGACCGTTCTGTTTTCGAGATGCTACCGACTTCGTGGGTGGTTCCAGCGACCTGGTATTGTCGTTGTCACTTTCATCCTTAATTCGTCTTCGGTCGCGAGATCTATCTCTTCTTCTGCGAGGTGAATTCCGATCATCCTTTCGTCGAGGACTGCGCGATCTTCTGCGATGTGAATCTCGATTGTCTATTTGTCGGGAAGAATCTGAATCAACTGGACTACGCGACCTTCTGCGATATCTCACTTTATCTTCGTATTTATCTCTCGTGCCTCTGGAACGATCATCATGCCTGTCGGGACGAGTAGATCCACGGTCAGCCTCTCGCTCTCTCCTGCGCCTCCTCCGCCTTCTCTCTTCTTCGGAATCTGTTGAGGGGGACCTAGAATGTCGCCGTGAAGAATAATCCTTCTGACGATTTGAGGTTTCAGGTGAGCCCATATTATTTAATTATTGGAGTGGTTGAATTGTTGAAGAAAAAAAAACGAGAGACAAAATTAATTGATAAATAATGAAGATACCGATAAGTAACTACGAGATGCGAGTGATTGTGCATGTAATTCAAGCTTACCACCATTATTTGTACCTATCGGCTACCGTATCTTTGATTGGTAGGAGCGCCCATAGCTGAACTTCGACCTTTCTGCTTGATACCTAATTCAGACTAGCCGATATATTCTGACCATGAATCCTTCGAACCTTCAAAATGGACATTCTCCTGAACACCACCTCGACCACCTAGACAGGTACTTACCCATATGCCACATCTTGGTTTTCTCCATCAAGTTGTGCCGGGTATTGTTAACTCATGTCACTCACTCCGTGATATGATACGATACGATACGATACGAAGCGATGTGATGTGATGTGTTTGTTTGTGTTCTCTTGTGTTCTTCAATGTTTGTTTGCTTCTCTTCCTTCACCAACAACAATGATATATGATTCAAGGAAATCCGGTTGATGCAAAATCCAACAGTTATACATATACACATGCAGCGAATAGGATCATGTGGACGCCATCATCCAACTCCAAGGCTTCTTGATCCATCCGGTTCTATTTCCGAAACTCGCGATACATTCATCATTGATGTAAGAACCGTCATTGATACCTGGTTATTCCATACTTGTACGAAGAATACACTTACGATGTGAGTTGGGGTGCATTGCAGGACCTGAAACTCTCCTCGAAAATCGATTACAAGGTATCTTTTCTCCGTATTCTAATTCTCTTACTTGATCTTTTCGCTGTTATCATCTGCTTCCAATCGCGTCCTTTTCTCTTCTTTAGTATTACTTGTTCTTGCTTCACTTCCGAGTCTTTCTACTGCGCCGTAAGCGTTGGTTCTCGCGTTTGGTTGGATGTAGTGATGGCCAGATAAGCGACCGCCCCCATGGCGGTTACGAAAGTCTTTATGTCTTTTATGATTCGTCTGCATAATTTGAATCGACGCTTTTTTATCTGTTTCAGGTTACTGCGTTAAATCGAGTGGTTCATAACGACTCTTACCATTGAGACACCAGGCCGCAGCGTCGTTGCCGCATTCTCGCACACTTGAAATGATTGATCGAGGCTTCCAGCTCGAGTCGAAAAATATAATGTGAGATGGGGTCCAATCCTACAATATTTATATATCTCTTTGACCATGGCCCAGCCTCAGCCCTTGGATCTAAGCCTGCCTTGATTATAATTGAATATTTTCGAGGCCAGTTTTCAACGTGAAAACTCAACTGTCGTTTAAATTTCACGTCGCATGGGAATAATTCCATTGGCAATTACCCGACCACATCTTTCCTCGGGTTTCTCGGATGAACTACTTGTACAAGAATTTCCCTTTTTAAGCTCTTCTCAAACCTTTAGCATCAAGGGTTACCTCTTGCTTGGGCCCAAACTTTTTTTTAGTTACTTGTGAATACCCCTAAAAAAGGCGTGGAAGCATGCCTCATGTTGTCTCTCAAATGCAGCCAAAAGAAAGGCCCCAACAAACTCACAACTCAAAACGAACCATGATCAAGAATGCAGTTTCTCAAGATAACCTTCGCCCATCTACTACTCCTCGTCGTCAAAATGCAAATGGCCCAACTCCCACCTTGAGTTTGCTCGTTACCCCACAAGGTGCATGGAACTATACGCCAGGTCGACAGCATTCAAAACAGTTTTCTCCTGATAGAATGACACCTATATCCGCTGTCGATTCCGTTTTTGAATTATCTTCGCCAACTACAAATGCTTCCCCAAATTCAGCCACATCATCATTTATTGCTGAACTGGAAGACACTTCTCCTGGGGCAGTCAAGCCTCAGAAAGTCATTATGGATCCGAAGTCTCCACTCAGTCCTACACGTTCCGTAAGTTCTCGATTAAAATGCTTTTTTATATCATCAATACTCATTCATATCCTTAGTTACATGCAGCTACTGCCATTGACGCTATCAATGACTTCGAGGCAGAGAATAAGCGTCTTCTCGAGCGGGCTATTGCGGCCGAAAATGCAGCAAAGATATTGGAGGAGCAAAATATCGATCTCCGACGGAAAGTCAACTATTGTATGGAACAACATAGACCAAAGACTGCACCAGCTCAGAGAACCTCACAAGACTTACGCAAGCGCAATACCGCATACAGCACGACAACACCTCTATCCGCTTTCAACACTATGATGGATCATGTGGAGGCTAAGTATTTACCACCTCCTATTAATGATACACCCACACCATTGCCTCGACGAAAAAATTCGCTCCCATCAGAATCACTAGTTTCACATCAAGGTGAACTTACGCCAAACAGATTTGGTCCCAGTGGATTTATTCCCTCGCGGCGACCTCCTCCGATTCCAGAGAGTAAAAAGGTATCTTCATCGAAAGACCCAACCCGTCGTCGTGATACATTAAAAAAGAACGACGTGAGCACTCCAAGAACAACACGTTCTAATAGTCGAATGACCAAAATCTCCTTGTCGGATGCAACTCTTAGATCAAAACCATTACCATGGGCTCCATCAGCAATTCCAGGCATGGTTGAAATTGGCAGTACGTATGAAGACGCTGCCCCTACGTCCCAATTGAGACCGAAGAAGAGTTTCGCGAAATTCTTCAGAAAAGCAAAGAAGGAATAATCAGTAGCGTTTTTGTCCACAAACTTTCCCTTTGTCAATAATACCAATGGCGAATATCTTGGGATGTTATATCATACATCCCAGGCGTTTTGGGTTTTTGATGTATATATGTCTTATGAATAATGAAAGTGGTACATATGGAGTAATTGGATATTGGGCCGCGAGGTCAGGATTTGACACGGGCTTTTCAGAAGAAGGGAACGGTAGTTGAGTAATAATATACTGTTCCTTTCATATTTATTATTTGCATATGTTGAACTGTGCTTGGTCTTTTATCTCTGATTTCTATTACATTTATATTTTTTTGGTTCCTCTCCCAGGAAAGGAGATGCATCCACGATACCTTCTGCAGCGAAGTAAATTGCACGATGAGGGAGAGCATCGTACCCCTAAAAAATTCTGAGACTCTGCTTTTCGGAAACATACGATAGTTTGTATTTTCGATAAACCAGGAGACATGCGATTCCACAAAGAGGAAAGGTATATAGAATTCATCAGACACAACACATACTCCACTGTGCAAGGACATATAAAGTTCAAATGACAGGAAAGTAATTATTTTACAATCTATATATAACATTCTTTTGATGTATATAGGTACCTTCCATATCATCAAATATATCATACTTTTATGAACGCTGTCTTTTTTCCTTTCATCCATATTCCCATACTTTTTTTCCCATCCAAGGCATTTATAAACGCCAAATTTTAACTCCATTGTCTATATTTCCATACATTTCCTCATTAACTTCTCCATCTAGTAATCCTCCCCTTCTTTTCAATCTACTAATAAGCCCAAAAGCTATCCGAATCAGTCGAACAATCATCGCATCCATCTCGCGATTGAACCAATCCATTCTCTCTTTCCATCTCCATATCCTTCCTCCTCACAGCATCTAGAACTTTCTTATCCTTAGCATATTGATCGCGCTCACCACTAATAATCCGATCAATATCTCCCCAATTCTCATCATCCGGATCCATCTCCCTATGCTTCTTCCCCTCATCAGCAATATGCGGACCATCCGCCGCCGTTGACCAAGGTAACCCCGCAACCCACGAAGAGGGCTCTTGGCCCGGGATTCCCAATGGTGCAGTGGTCGCGTTGGAGGTGGTCAGGTAGTCCGGCGGGAGCGGAGGACTGCGTAATCGTTTGGGGGGATTCGGGAGATTTGGTCGACGCGGTCGAGGGGGCGACGCGGCGAATTGTAGGCCCCCTGGTTTTTTGGTCGTGGGTGGTCGTTTGGGGGGATTCGCGAGATTTTCACGACGCGGTCGAGGGGGTGACGCGGCGAATTGTAGGCCCCCTGGTTTTTTGGTCGTGGGTGGTCGTCGGATGGGGCGTGGGAGGTTCGCAAATACTACTTTGCGGTGCGTGGGTGTGGTTGGGTGGGAGGGGTGCGCGCTTTCCCGTTCGGGCTCGCTGTGATGGCCGTCGGTCGTTTTGGTAGTTTGGATGGGTTTGGTGGGTTTGGTGGGCTTGGTAGCTTTGGTAGCTTTGGTAGCTTTGGTGGCTTTGATAGCTTTGATAGCTTTGACGGCCTTGCCAGCTTCGGCAACTTTAGTAGCCTTAATCGCATTGACCGCATTGATGACTTTGGTAGGCTTGGTATCATTAACAGGATTGGTATATTCACACTCCTCGGTACTCCTGGATGAAGCACCCGGACGGCCATTTTCCTCCGCATCATACGGAGAAGTCTCATCAAACGTGCGATAGCGAAAGTAGATTCTTCGCGTGATCAATCCTTCGAATTCCCCGTGAGATTCGTGATTATATCGCTGTCGAAGCTTGATTCCGTGGACTTTGCAAAGGTGGTGGAGGAAGTAGCAGAGGGAGAAGAACGCGCCGCATGATATGATGAAGAATAGGGAATAGAGCGCGATTCTTGTTGTGGTGTCTAGAGTCTCTTTGGGTGCGGAGACTGTGTTCATAGTTTGGTTTGGGAAGAATGTCGTGGCGAGGATTCTTCGGAATTGAGTGGGTAGTGTAGATGCAGAATAGTAGGGTGGTTGGGTTGATTGAGTCGGATAGACAGGTGAAAGTGGTGGAGAGATGAAGATAGTATTCGAAGAGGTGGTTCCTGGTGGGAGGGTATTATCGGTGAATCTGCCATCGGCAATCATCTTTGTGATCATTATGACGACGTTGAGGGGGTGTTTAGATGGTGTTCTTATGATGAAGATTTGGTGATATCGAGATAGATGCTTTTGAGCTATTCAGAAAATGTGATATTTGGTTATGTGACAACAAGTATATAATGTAAGATGTGATGAAGATGATGTTATCATGTATTCAGAATACTCTGATAAATGTTTCTGTGCGATGCTTTTTCGTGCGGTGTGTAGGAAAATATTTTTGAGAGAAGAGATTGTTCAAATACATTTTCATCAAATATATTTCTCTCAAGATTTCGATATGGGAATCGAAATGAACTAATGTTCAAATTCTCACTCTAGGCATGCGCCAGTGTCTGTCAAGCACAACACTAATGACGCTTTCCATTGCTTGTCTGCTGTTAGTAACCCCAATTGAAGTCAATATCAGAATACCAGTGGTTGTAATGATGACATTCAGAAGCTTGTTAGACTTAGTACATAGTTTAATTTTTCTGATCGGTAAACTGGGGAAGGATTGTGGGGTAAAAGTCGAACTACTTTCGCTTAGCCCCCCTTTAGTTTTGGAGTGAGTGCTGTTGGAGCCGCGCTAGATTGAACTATATCACGTGATTCAACTCTAGAGCGTCAGGCTAGACATAACTATTGGAGAATAGGTTTTGTGTATGCGGTCTTTCAAGAAAATTTGATCGGAATTTCATTCTCGGCCTATGGCTGGACAATATCAAGGTTTGCGAGATTTTTGAATTTTGATTGCTGAATTTGTGTGGTTGTAGGTCACTACTATAACTCTACCTACAGTTCTAACACATTCGACATCCAGAAATTTTCTTGCGACAATCTATTTCGCTCATCCATAACTTATGACAAACAACCATAGTCTTTTAGAAGATACTTCTAACAATCTACATTCCGGCTTTATCCCCTTGTACCATAATCACTACCGTTGAACTTATATCCCATCGCAAGATTTCCAGCCCAAAGGTTCCCAGAAAAAAATTAAGAATCTCAAATCTCAAAGCCTACCTCCAACTCCAAAGCCCCGATCCCGATCTTTGATGTTGTTGAAACTGAAAGAACGCACATATATTTCGAGAATATATTTGATAAATCCGTAATGATATTTGATGGAAATCAGAACCGCGCACTTGTGTTCTGAGAGCCAAGGGAAAAATCGTAGATATTAATCCAACACTCTGCCTATTTCTGGTGTGAGAAGTCTTTGGTAATACCAGATTCATTCTTTTGAATTAAAGTGAAGGATCTCAACATACCTTGAGAAATTCTAGTCCCAGCAATCGGCCCATTGGCGGCATTCAATCGTAAGCAAAATCCTTTGCTTGGGGATATATGATACAATAATTCTCAATTCTCAAATTCGTAGAAACCGCTCGACGGCTCTACACTCAGAAGATAAGACTGTCTAATGGATGTCAGTGGTATATTTCGATAGAGATGTGAAAATTTCTCACCTCTCAATAAATTCATGTCGCCGTTTCAAGGTACAACCATAGTGTTCAAACTATTCTCAGCACTGTTACAGTACTGCTTTGTAAAAGTTCAGTAGCTCATTCTATGGTCATTCCATAATTCTCGAGATTCTCGAGTGCAGTCAGACGGAGATCTCGAAGTCTTAAAACATCGCCATATGTCCCCAATATCCTATTCTCAGCATCATCGGCAACTGAAGGCTCCAATCCAGCTTGTTGTTTCCTCCAATAAATAGCATCTATGTCCTGAAGATCCCGGGCTATCCAAGCTTCGATAAATTCACAGTCCATTTTACCACCCAATCTGGTACAGACCCTCGCTAGTCTTTTTTCAAACTCTCGGTGTTTCAACTCTTCTTCGAGCTCGCGAGCCATACGCATTTGGAACCTGGCATGTTTACGGCCAGGTACGATTTGAGGAGACCATCCGAAAAATTCAATTGAATCATACATGAATTCTTCAAAGCACTCTCCCATCAATTTGACCCCAAATTTGACCCGAATAAGACATTCATAAAAGACTATACTCACCGAAAGGGCATGGAGAACTTCAAAGTAGTGTATAGAATCTCCCGAAGCAATTGAGAGGGCGGAATGCATAAGCACACCGAATGAAAACATGAATATCAAATTCAATCGAAATTGATGGCAGCCCTTCCAACCCATTGATCGGTAGTAGATGTACTGGATTAATTCACAAAGTATCCAACATAGTACAAAAACTGAAATACGCTTTAAAAGATTCGTTATTAAGAACATGCCTCTGTAAAGAATTTCATTAAAACTCTGATTCTGTTGTTGGCACATGGTTGTTAAGAATAATTTGTTTGAAGATGAGATGGAATCCTTGAGATTATACAAGAGCGAAGAATGACCTGACTTTTTGATGTACAGGAACCATAAACAGGGCTAAGTGTCCTCATGTGATGAAATGGGCTAACTGCCTGTACTAACCCTTCTATTGGGTGGGCGAGAGATTATCTTCTAAAGTGATTCTTTTGAAATTTTTGATGCCAAGTGTCATACTCTATTTCATACTACTGTCTTTAAGCTAATCTGTAGTAAGGACAGTTCTTGTGATCTATCATTTCAATCGGTCTCGTATCTGCCAGTAGAATTTATCACATCTTCTAGACTCTGATCAATATGATAAGGATTCCTTAAAAAAATTATGTCGTTTTCAACGATCGATATTGAACTAATTAGCCTGGAGTCTCAGAAATCCCAAGCGCCTCATGATTGACTTGCACAATGAGAAATGTAGTTTCCCCAATTCACTCCGACGAGTAACAACGATGGCCCCTAAGATTCCCCTATATTTGAATATTGTACAGAGATTTGGCAATTGAGAGCCTTTGAGAGGTGGGAATTCGAAATTACTGCCAAATTTACACAAATCCTCAGCTAGGAAGCCCAGTTTGACTTAATTATGATTACACGTCATTTTTCTCAAATCACACAAACGAGCGAAAATTTTATACTTGACCAACGGTGCCCTATACTAGAAGTTAGTACCAATGAAAATTCTTTCTCTCTAAATGATGAATTTTTTGATCCCCATAAGAATCGTAATTTTGAATCACTTCATCTTCAAGGCAATTAAATAATCCTCAATCATCCAATCTCGTAAGTATTCCCCCTGGTTCAAATCATGAAAAGGTCTAATGATTGAAAAGTTCGAGTTCCAGAATGTCACCATTACCAAAAATCACCGAAATCACAGGGCATGTCACAGATGCCATTGATATTACCCAAGTTGAACTCACACTTTTGGAAACGCTCACATATGGCTTCTTCGCCCCATTGGGAATCATATGTATGATTTTCATTATTTCCTCGTGGATGGCGATACTCCTTGTCGCCATTTATGATGCAATAGAGAATTGGGGATGTAGCTGGTTGGCAGTAAGCGAGAGAAGACCGACGTCGAAACTAACGAACGCGAACGTATATCTCATTTCAGATGATGAGAGAGCGACAAGCCCACTTTTGGATGTCAAAAAATGGTCGGAGGATGTAGGAGAGGGAGAGGACTTTTTCAGCAGCAATGGATTGCCGAATTACGGAACGATAACACAGATGCAGAGACATGAGACTGATGATGTTTGGGAAAGCACAGCAGCGTCTAAAGAGATGACAAGAAAGTCTTCAAGTACCTATCAAATATAGAGATTCTGGTCTTTGGGGGAGAATAAAATGATTGGATGAAGTTGTTGTGGTCCTGAATCAACACTATGTGAACAAAAAGGACTGTGACAAAAATTTATGGGAGGAAAAAGTTTGGTGGCATTAAATTTTGGAGAAATGTCTTTCGGATTTGATATCTGATATGATAGAAGATCTCATTTTCAGAATTAAACAGAGTTGACTACCTATCTACACCATTTCACTGACTCTAATCTCGGGGTCTTGCGTCTAAATCGTGGTCTATCATTAACAATGGGAATATATATTGTTGTTTTAGACATTTCATGTTGTCCTGACTACTCTTTGGACAGGAGTCTCAAAACTCCTAGAAACGATCTACCAAAATAGCTCATTGTATCATTTTACACTTATAATTACTCCTCTCACTTCTAACATCCGTCATCTTCCGCCAAATAGATTTCCAGATTTGCAAGGATTTAAATGGCTGTGATTGTAAATTCCTATTACCTGAATATCATCCCTCCTTTTCAGATGATAGGTCCAGACTTTAGAATGATTGATATGATAACAATAGAATCAGAATCAAGTCTTGCATGATTGGATTATGTTCAGGTAATTTGGCTTTGCAGATCTCAGCAACTTTACCCGAAAAAGTTAAGTTTGTGAGGCCCATTGAGAACCAATGTCAGAATTTTCAACCCTAAGAGTTTTGGAAGTGTCACTAGTGTAACCTAATTCTTCAAATTCTAAATGGGGCATATTATGCTTCCAATGACAACAGTTTGTCACGCATACCATCCGCTTGTGGGAAGACTTGAGTGCTAAATGTCAGTCTCAACGATATTTAAACCAGATTTACGTCGTCGATCTACATGGTCCAATTACCAAGCTTTGAACTAGGATATTTCTCATAGATGATGAATCATAGATGGTTGTCACTAGATAAAATGTATAAATTGCGCCGTGTCTGCACCTAAACTTCTCGACCTCCAAAAAAATTAATCCTCCTATCCTAATAAATCTAAAGTATCAAATCTACAGCACAATAAAAATGCCTGCGCTACTCAATCTTCACCAAACACAATTGGGCCCTATTACCGAGCCCGTTCTCGATATCGTCAACGCAGTCAGAGATGCAAACGGACAAATACCGAGAGCCTTTCCAACCGCGATATTCATGTATGGATTCGCAAGTGGGTTTTTCGGTTTTATTTTTCTCGTTGCATTGTTTCATGGATTTCAACGTAGGAAAAACGTGAAGTTCGTGAAATTTGGTCCCAGCTTCCCTGATCTGCGAGAAGGGGACAAATTCTTCCTCGAGCAGGAAAATGGTATCAACTACGAGGGTGTTGTGCGTTTTGATGAGTCAAGTGGCTGTGATTTCACAATTGATGAGGTGATGGAACAAAAGTCAGTCATCATTTCATCCTCTAAGTTAGAGCAGGCGGAGATAGAGGACGTTCAGAGAAAAGCAAAGAGGGAATTGAGAAAGGCGGAAGACGATTACGAATACAATGCTTTTATGAATAGCATTTCTGTTCATGGCTTTGCTTCTTTTGTGGGTGCTATGGATGCTGATATTGATAATGTTGACATTGAGGATGATGAAGATGAGGATGATGAGGATGACGAAGAGAAGGAGGAGGACAGGGAGGATGAGGATACCACAAGATAGATGGTGGTGGATTCTTTGAGATTGTTTTGGAGATATCAAAGAAAATCGTGGAATATATCGTGACGGTTGGAACAAGCCCTGATTATTGTGCTTGGGCGGAAGCTTCGCATGTTTCAGGTAATCTTCAAGATCTCGAGAGGGGGTAAGGGTTTCAATGGCTTGGACACTGTTTAGATTGATAAGGATTAAATTAATGGAAGATGGAGTCGAACGGATTCCGGATAGTGGGATTATATTATTGGGTGCGCCGATGAGAGCGGGAATTACATGACAGGGAATGGAGCAGCCGAAGTTGAGGTGGAAAGCAGAAACTCACCAGAAACTCACAAGTATGTTGAGAGATCTTGATTGGAGGTAGTCATAATGTATATTCCAAGAGTATTACGCGAGAGTTGTGAACCTACGTGGTATTCTTGTTACCCAATACCAGTCCCAGTACTTGAATGTTTGTAACGAATATCGAGTAATCTGCATCATTTAATAATTTTAAAATCTATCACACCAGAATTTAAAGCTGCTTCAAATTATACTCCAAAAGTTTTATGAGGACCAAGACCACAAAGACCGAGGGTGAAAGTTGTAGCGAAACAGTCAAGATCGAAACTTAAAATTAGAGCTAGATAAGCAATGACTTCAATGCTGCCATTACCACAATATTGGCAAGCGACTATAGCAGATAGTAGAGACAAGGAGAGACATGCCGATATAATTTAGTAGGAATTGCAGATTCCGGACTTTCTTGAGGCGGCCGTCTACAAAATGATCGAAAGGAAAGAGACCTTGGACTGCTGCAGATATGTCAGCTACCCATGATTAGTAAAGCTTTTGATGAGCAACAGGAATAGAAGACAAACGCCTGGTACGAATCTTCTAGCTACTTTAACGTAGAAGTCCTGAAGCAATTACAACCGAAGCTTTCCCAGGTCATTGTCATGATCTTGTGGTTTCCCATTTCGAAAGAGATCATTCATGGAAAGGCCGCACCGCTAATACTCACTCCATATAGACGCTCGAACCTAAAGAAGAAAAACAAAATACAAGATAAATCCTTTCTAGGCTGGATAATACAGAAAAAGTAGATCTATTGTCTATATCTCCCCATCTCTAATATCGAATAAGCGAGTCTGCCGACGTGTGGTTTCTTGTACCACGACTAAGTCCCAAATCACAAGAATTTCCCTCTCACCTTTTCACAAAGAGTAATTCATTCACCATATGCATGAAGAAGATCTGGCGGAAACCTGGAGTCTAAAGTTTGTGCTTATTTATTATGTATGAAAGACATAAAATGATATCTGGCTACATGGTCGCTGCTTTTCTCAATGCCAAAATCCAAGCACCTCCAAACTGCTTGACGTATGTTAACATTTCGATTGCTCGCACCTTTTCTTGTTCTTTGTCGATACGGAATTTCATGGAGCCTGGAGTTTTATTGAAGGTGAAAGTGTGTAAATTAAAACGCCCAATTAGTTGCGATCTTGATCTAGGAGGCACAGTTTCTATATGAGAAAAAGCTTACAATTTTTTCCCTCTCCGCTCATCAAACGTCTTTAAAGTCTACATGTTTATTCTCTTAATTATTCACATAATAGAAGCATACAAATCACATTCGTGACTTCCCGAAATGATGTCTACATCTATCTGTCTTCCTAATCGTCGCTATCCTCTGCTTCCTCCGAAGCTCACTCTAAGTCGTACCTTCTCCAAATCAAACGCTCAACTTACCCTCATTCTCAAAAAGGAGAATGTTTCTCCCATTTTTCCATCAACATCACATCATATCATATCATCAATCTCATTGCACAAATTTAAATATCCCACTTTTTTGGTTATTGTCATACATACATACAATATATATATTTGCAAAATACATCACCATCCTCCGTACCGGCAAGAGAAACGCAACAAATCCCGTATTGATTTTCCATACCAGGGAAACCATCCCAGGACACTCTAAGAAGGGTTCACACAGCACGAAATGCATCGTCCATTTCAAAGATACCCTAGACAGGGTCTAGCCAATGAAAATCCAACGCCAAACTACCCTGAGAATCTCGATTTCCAGAGCCCACAGCACCATAAAAACACTGGATCGAGTGTTTCGCAACCTATAAGTGTCAATCCTGGATCAGAATATCTGTCAAATCAATTTCATCCTATGATCGAAAATGGCTGGAATCTACCTTCACCCATGTTAGCTAATGGATCCAATGGAGGTCAGCCGATGGAATTCAATCACTTCGAGTCATACTATCCGAACCTAAGGAGTCATAATATAGGCGCAAATACACTTGTTCCCATCGAAGAAAACGGACAGAGTTCTCAGCAGTGGCGTGAAGCTTTCCAAGATCAACCAAATTTCAATGCTCAATTCCAACAACCTAACGTAAATGCTGGTCAATTTTTGCCTCAAGCCACAATATTCAATGCTCCGACACCATGCCAACTACACCAATGGGTCAATGGAAGTTTAAGAACATTTGCACCCATTGCAGCATATGGCCCAAATCCTCAGCAGGTGCAGGGGGAGTTCGATAATGAACTGGGCTTCGGGCGTCTGAACTCTAACGGTGGCTATGCTCCACAATACAGGATACGACTTTGTAAACTACGCGATCAGTTGACTTCAATAGCTCGTGAGATCAAGCTAAGAACTGTGGAGAGTATAAGTGCAGGTTCAGAACATGTGCAACCTCAGGGAATCGAAGAATTTTTTATGCTCTATCTTGTGTGTAACATTTCTTATCCTCCAGACCTGTGCTTCTTATACTAATCTGCAAAAGGTTATTTTAGGACAATATGTACTACAAGGAGGATGCGTTTGGTATACCAACCTTCCTCCTCCAGCCCCCAAGATTCTCATATCACCTCGGGACACAAATTCGTTTCTTTCGAGCCCTATCCCGTTTAAGCTAGACACAAGCAAGAGAAAGGGTCAAACAAATGAAGGAATTGATGAAAACCAATGCGCTCCTAAGGAAGTAAGTCCAATCGATACTACAGACCGGGACACTGCTCTTCAGGATCCGAACTACTACGAGCTCGATGACGTAGATTACCCTGCTCCCCTGGACTCTGGAGGTAGTCTCGTTGATCCAGACTATTTTGATATTTGTTCAGAGTACTCTCTTAGTATCTCAATAAATGATGGGGGTTCTCGTTCTTCATCTTCTTCCCATAGGCCTGGAAAATCAAATGATTGTCTCTCAACACCCTTCAGGCGAGTCCGTTCTCTTTCACCTTGTGCGCCGGTGTTTGTCCCCGCGAGCGAAGGTCATCAAACAGTTTCGAGTTTCAATGAAGATCATGGACCGCTGGAATCTCCAGACAATAAAATATCATCAAAGAGTCATCCTGAACCAGCAAAAGCTAGAATTTACTCTCCATGTATGAAACATGTGTCGCTTGTGGATGAGAAGATGCTTACAGACCCTTTTGTCTCCAAAAGCCCATCAAATAAAACCACTCCGTCCGTGAGATATATTCAGCGAGATCGATCCTACTTGTCGACTCCGCCGACTCCCATTAGTCCTTTCCTTCACACTAGCCCATCCGCTCTCGGTAGTCCATCCCCTAGAGAACGATATGTTGCTCCGAAACCAATGGAGATTCCTAGTAACATCTATTTCATCCGTACGAAGCCCGGCTCAGGAATAAGGATCTGCATCCTTCCGGGTAATACCTGGGTTGATCTTCCCCAGATAGGGATTCACCACTATGACCAAGATTTACCAGAGATGTGAGTACACGGTACCCCTTCCACGAGCAGACTAGCACCTAACTTTCATGCAGACATTATGTGATGGGTTCTGCAAGCTGGTTCTACTCACAGCCATGGGTTCCTATATTATATCAGGAGATTCTTACTCGTAAATCATTGAAAAGGTTTGAGAAACTCAAAGAAGCGCCAACGCAGTCTGTCCTCGAGCTATCGACTATACCAACTGGATATGTAGACTTTTACGGAAAACCTATTTTTTTTCAAGCAGGCAATTCTAGGCCTGAGCCTGAAGCAGTATCGTGCCCCAGTGGCGACGACTTGGGTGTCAACTGGAATGCGACACCGGCCGAAAGGAAGAGGATTAAATTAACCAAGTCAAGACAAATGTGGGAAGAGTGGCAAGAAAGAGCGCGGGATGCAAGGTTCTTTTGGCATCTTTGGGAGCAATGGGGCCAAATAAAGGGCTGGACAGATGAACATACCAAACGCGGAGATAATGCAAAGGGAAAAGAGGTGGACATGCCGGATCATTATAAATTGATGAAGATAGTGATGTTCACGTCTAAGAATGGATTTGGCACCAAACAGATTGGGCCCGAGGACAAGAAGAAAATTTTGAATGGAAGATCGATTAAGCAATTTAACAGAGATTGGGAAGAGAGACAGAGAAAATTCGGTAATTCAAATTGGTGGAAATGAGAAAACATGGAGGTCTTGAAGTAAGGAATGATTACACAGCGATAATGTAATGTAATCTCAGCGAAATGATCGATTAGAAATTAGCGTATGGCTTAATATCCCAATTTTGCTGAATTCTATGATGCACATTGGGCATTATACTCTCCGGATTCCACGTGATCCACCTCGCGACTATGGTGTTGACCTAGAATATTCAAAGTTGCCGTGGGAATTGATCGGCACAAAGCATGGATGGTGAAATTTAAGACTCCAGACTTTGTGGCCACGTGCGATGTGAAGCAAAGAAAGCAGGTAGGCTCACCAGTTCCCTCATCTCTTCTTCACCCCAATTTTTCAAGTCAGTATACTTTAGTTCGTCATTTGGATAGGTTGGAAGAAAAGAGTATATGCTCAATAGCCACAACAACGAGATCGCCAGTAGCAGCAAGATATTGTCCTTCATAAAATGTGTTGTTGGTACTGCCGGATACAAATCTCCCGCCGTGGATGAAAAATGAAACTGGCTTAAGCTCTTTTGGCGATATGGATGAAGTCCATATATTGAGTGCCAGGCAATCTTCACTGAATTCAAGACTCGTCC